CTGAAATGGCAAATGAAATTCAACACCAGCAAGTGCAGCGTACTTAATATTGGAAGAACAAATACTTATAATGTATACAGCCCGAACAACATCAACTCGAGAAGTCGACGGTGAAGAACCTAGGCACTTTAGGCCCGACCTACGGCCTAGAAACAGTGCGTTAATGTTCGAAATATAAAAACAGAGTATTGGGTTTTATATCTAGAAGTAAAGAGTGCAGAGGTCTTATTGCAACTATATCTTTGCGCGAGTTAGGCCGCACCTCGATTATACGGTTCAGTTCTGGTGCCCCATTATAGAATGGATATAAATTCACCAGAGTCGGTGCAGCGAAGAATGACAAAAACATTCAGGGACTTAGAAACCTTCCATATCAGGATAGGTTAAAGAAACTTAACTTGCATTCCCAGAAAGACGAAGAGTGCGGGGAGATATGATAGAAGTATTTAAGTGGGTGAAAGGAATCAATAAAGGGATATAGATAAAGTTTTATAATATCCGAGCAGGATAGGACTCGGAGCAACGGATTCAAGTTGGATAAGTTTAGGTTTAGGAGGAGGAAGAAACTGGTTCACAAATAGGGTGGTGGACGAGGGAAAAGCTTTAGCAACTTTGTAGTAAGTGCGGAAACCCCTGAAAGTTTCAAAAGGAGGCTAGATAGATTCATGGATGATAGAGAATTTGCACTAAATCCGATTGGGGTAACGTAACTAGTGGAGTATCCCAAGGCTCAGTACTTGGACTATTACTATTTATTATATACATAAACGACATAGATGTAGGTGTAGACAGCAACATAAATAAATTTGCTGACGACACTAAAATAGGGCGTGTAATTAAATCTGACGAGGACTCCGCAAAGTTTCAGGAAGATCTAAACAAATTTTTAGCATGGTCTGAAAATTGGCAGAGGAAATTTAATGTGCACAAATGTAAAGTACTTAGTCTCGGAGATATAAATAGAGAAACCAGATATCAGATGAACAACGTTGTTCCAGAGAAATCCGACTGAGAGAAAGATTTAGGAATAATGATAAGTAGGAATCTTAAACCAAGACAATAATGCGTATTTGCTCGAAACAAGGCTAACAGAGTACTTGAGTTCATATAAAGGAGTGTTAGTTACAAGACTTGTGAGACCTCACTTGGATTATGCGGTTCAGTTCTGGTCACCGTACTACAGAATGGATATAGAATCCCGAAAAAAAATTCAAAGGAGGGTGACAAGACTAATCGCGAGCATTAGGAACCTTGGGTAAAGAGACAGATTAAAGCGTCTCAATTTGCACTCCCCCGAGAGACGTAGAGTGAGGGGCAATTTGATCGAGGTGTATAAATGGAAGTTAGGGTTAAACAAATGCAATGTAACAAATCTATTCAAACTATCAAACCAGGAGCGAACTCCTAGTAATGGTTTTAAATAAGACAAATTTATATTTAGGCAAGAAATAGGTAAACACTGGTTTGGAAATAGAGTAGTGGATGAGTGGAACAAATTATCGAACTTCATCATTAACACGAACACGCTGGATAGCTTCAAATATAGGCTAGACGAACATATAAGCAATAGGGGTTGAATGGGCTGCTTAGTATGGGTCAATAGGCCCGTTGTAGTTTCCTTTATTCTTATGTCCTTATATGTCGCCGATTCTCCTATTTGTACAACAACGTTACAGAATTATGTTGCATTGGTGTGGACTCGCCTCTTGTTCAATTGGAAGGTGAAAAAAAAAGTGTTTGTGTTGCTGTACTGTACCCAAAAAATCAGAGGAGAGCTTAGATAAACTAAGTGCTCTGTTCAAAAGTGGCAGTTCGATGTGTTTTGTGCAAGTTCAAACTCTTCCTTTGAATTTAGTGGCAGCAAAATTCTATAACATAAGAGTGTAATTGCAAATGGAACAGGGGATGGGAAATTATCTAGATTCTAGAGCCAATAAAATGCGGCTGGAAGATCAAAATCGACATCCTTGTCCAAGTTGTGACTGACTCACTTGATGCACTTGTCGCGATGACTGTGACACAAAGTGCTGAAGCTACACAAAACGTGGACCTGAGTGTTCACTTTAGTCACTACCTTTCCTGGAGGACGAATATTTCTATTCAACGCTCAAATTTCGAAAGAAAGCTTTAGTAAACAAAATATGATTCCCTCTATAAATAATGAAACAAACTTAGCAACATCTTACGAAAATATATTTATGGCTCATTTACCAGGTCTTAGGGCCTTTTTTCATGATTGCATTTAGAGATTTTATGCAGTGAATAAGGATCACAAGCATTTTAATAGGTTATGCAATCATAGTGTTAACAACATTAATTTTTTTCTTTTACACTCAATTAGAGAAACAGCACAAAATTGTATTTTTTGCACACAAATAACTACTGGTATGCAAAAAATTAATAGTTAAAAAAATACAAGTTCAAAATTGTACAACTATACCAAAACTTAATTGTCTTACCACGTTTGTAGGTCATTGCGACCTAATCTAACCTAATATTCCTTACTTCTTACTAGATATTTTGGTATTGGTTGACCAAGTTGTTCCTATTTCATATTTCTCTCAAACGCACTACATTAAACATGCACCAGGCATATAACTGTCTTAATAACATGAATAGAATCTTGCCTGTTGCAGAGGTAAACCCATTTCTTCATGAGACAATACATATTAGTGTTTATAATGAGACAATACATGATGGTGTTTATAATGAGATGATACATGTTGTTTACAATGAGATGATACATGTTGGTGTTTATAATGAGATGATACATGATGGTGTTTATAATGATATGATACATGTTGGTGTTTATAATGAGATGATGCATGTTGGTGTTTATAATGAGATGATGCATGTTGGTGTTTATAATGAGATGATACATGTTGGTGTTTATAATGAGACAATGCATGATGGTGTTTATAATGAGATGATACATGTTGTTTACAATGAGATGATACATGTTGGTGTTTATAATGAGATGATACATGTTGATGTTTATAATGAGATGATACATGATGGTGTTTATAATGATATGATACATGTTGGTGTTTATAATGAGATGATGCATGTTGGTGTTTATAATGAGATGATGCATGTTGGTGTTTATAATGAGATGATACATGTTGTTTACGATGAGATGATACATGATGGTGTTTATAATGAGATGATGCATGTTGGTGTTTATAATGAGATGATGCATGTTGGTGTTTATAATGAGATGATACATGATGGTGTTTATAATGAGATGATGCATGTTGGTGTTTATAATGAGATGATGCATGTTAGTGTTTATAATGAGATGATACATGTTGGTGTTTATAATGAGATGATGCATGTTGGTGTTTATAATGAGATGATGCATGTTGGTGTTTATAATGAGATGATACATGTTGGTGTTTATAATGAGATGATACATGATGGTGTTTATAATGAGATGATGCATGTTGGTGTTTATAATGAGATGATGCATGTTGGTGTTTATAATGAGATGATACATGTTGGTGTTTATAATGAGATGATACGTGTTGGTGTTTACAGAGGAATCAGTAAGTCGGTAGTTTTCTTTACCTCTGATCTCATCATTATCAATTTCTCCCAAAAATTCAGTGACACAAAAGTATAACTCTCGTCAAGGTTTGAGGGGGTCTATATGACTTAAAAACAGCAGACATAAATTATTTTGCAGTTTTGGGTCATGGAATATTTTGACATAGGGTACGGTACAGTACCTATATATTTACTGAAGCATTGCAAGAAGTGATTATTTTCTGTACTAAAATGTACCTGTTTGGTAGTACGGCATTTTCATTGTTGTTCTTTAGGGATGGGGCAAACAAGGCCAATGGTAGGGAACCCTGTGAAAGACCTATTGAATAAACTTACAAGTGGCATAGCCACCAAACCGAACTTTCCTAATTAGGTGGTATTTTTAGATTTTATCTTTTTTGATTATTACATTAAAACATGTTGTGCTATTATCAACAGCATTTAAAGCTGAGTTACACCATCTTCAAGAGGTGGCACCTTCTATATGATTGAATGGATGTGGTGAGGGCATGTGGTACTGAAAGTTATTAACATTGCACTTGTATTGCTGGACTGGGAGAAGTGTGTAACCATGTTGTTACACTGCTTTTTAGGGTGGAAATGTGTGCTATGTTTGGACTTACCAAAATGTCACAGCCTCGTTGCCATGCATGTAACTGTAATTTCAGACATTAACAAAATGCAGTAGTCCTTTCCTAAAAGGTTAAAAGGTTTAGTAGCTTAAGTGCCCCTTACTGCCCTTCGATCTTGATATTTGGGTATGAAAAAGAATATAATTCCTAAACCTGTATCATCCTGTTTGTGCAGCCTTTTACCATACAACTATTTACCATAGCAAAAACCAATAGGATATAAAAGGAAGCTGAAAAGCAGATGCACCATGAAGATCTGCGTAGAATATTACCAGATCCGACGCCGCATTACCTGTTGTGTTGGGACGCGGGCTGTCCACCTTTTCCTGCTTACAGTTCGGAAAGTAAACAAATCGTTACGCCACATGTTAACACTCTTATAGCAACGTATCTTAAAACAATTTTTTTTTCAGCTAGGGATAAAGTCAAACGAGCTCAATTAAATTTAGTTGAATTTAGTTACATTTAACTTAAGAATTCATATTAAGTTGTGAGTTGCTTGGTCAATCTGTCCGTGCGTGGTGGTGAGGCAACAAAAAGTTGCAACTTGACTTTTAGCCAGAGCTATAAAGAACAGTGGTTATGTGAGGCGGATAGGTGGAGTTTACGAGGGTGTGAGTACAGATGTGAGTCGGCCAGGTAAAACATTCTGCTCACCTACAGTATTACCTTCTTAATGACAATAGTTAGAAAAAATAGCTCATCCAGTAAAGGTTAGTTTAGGTTGATTTTAACAATAAAATTCGCCGTTAAAAACATTCTCCGCTTTGTATGTTGGCCTTGGCCAGACTCCGCCTTGGTCTGCAGTAGCTCCTCCCACCGTTTGCAGTCGTCTGGGTATAAAAGCAAAGGGGCTACGTTCTGGACACACAATTTATTTTCAGTCGGGCAAGTGTGTGTGAGTCAACATTACTGTCAACATGTGAGTATATTTGTTACCCTATTTGGACCCGGACACATAATAACATTAATAAACACAAATGTGTTTCATTTCTTACGTCTGCACTCGAAGACTCGAAACTTATTTATTTACAAGTCACTGAAATTTTTTAACACGCAAGGTTCATATATCACATCCTGCCGTAAACTGTACCTGATAATATGCTAAAACAGTTCAACGGTTTACTAAGTCGACTAAAACTCGACCCACAGCCAACTCTGTTAACTCCTGCTCCGTGTGACAATCGAACCTGCTACTTTGTGTCCCGTGTGATAACCGACCTTCTACTCGGTATCCCGTGTGATAGCCGAACATACTATTTTGTGTCGTCCCGTGTGATAGCCGAACTTGCTACTCCGTATCCCGTGTGATAGCCGAACATACTATTTTGTGTACCATATGATAGCCGAACTTGCTACTGTTCCGTGTGATAGCCGACCTGCAGCTGTGTCCCGTGTGATAGCCGACCTGCAGCTGTGCCCCGTGTGATAACCGACCTTCTACTCGGTGTCCCGTGTGATAGCCGACCTTCTACTCGGTGTCCCGTGTGATAGCCGAACTTGATACTCCGTATCCCGTGTGATAGCCGAACATACTATTTTGTGTCGTCCCGTGTGATAGCCGAACTTGCTACTCCGTATCCCGTGTGATAGCCGAACATACTATTTTGTGTACCATATGATAGCCGAACTTGCTACTGTTCCGTGTGATAGCCGACCTGCAGCTGTGTCCCGTGTGATAGCCGACCTGCAGCTGTGCCCCGTGTGATAACCGACCTTCTACTCGGTGTCCCGTGTGATAGCCGACCTTCTACTCGGTGTCCCGTGTGATAGCCGAACTTGATACTCCGTATCCCGTGTGATAGCCGAACATACTATTTTGTGTCGTCCCGTGTGATAGCCGAACTTGCTACTCTGTGTCCCGTGTGATAGCAAGGCACGCTGTAATGTTAGCTGAGCACGTTGCATTGTCAGCAGGATATTATGTAATTTTGGCATAGTTTTTTATAGTATTGGCAAAGTACGTTGCCGTGTTGATAGCATTATTTTTTGCAGTGCTGTCAGTGTGCACAGGCAATCGACCCACAACGGGCCAGGACACGCCGTTGATTTCACAGTGAACGCTGCTTTGTTGGTAGGGTAAGTTCTCATTTTACCTAGGCAGGCATTGTTGTTGAACTGTTTTGTTGGCAGGGCAACCTGTACTATGTACAGTAGCTAACAGAGTTAACACTCTTTAATGTAATGTACAATAGCTAACCGGGTTGACAATAGTGTTGACACGACACTCTATAATGTAGTATTTATTTTTTCTTTTATTTGCCCTGCGAGAAGGCTAGTTTATTGGGCACCCGTAATATCCTGTGCAGGGCGAAGCGCAGAAGCATTTACAGCACCCAACAGGGAAGCATGCGGAGTTCATGCTTGCCTTCTTGACTCATGCGGGTGCCTGAAGGGCCATGGATTATGTCAGCAAGTTACGAATACATAAAGTGACAAGGTGGGTGTGTGGCAAGTCTCTAATAAGTAAAGTCTGAAGGAGGAGGGTTATTTGGTCAGTAGGAACGGGTTTTAGTGACAGCTGGGGCCTGTGCTGTGGTAGGATAGTGGTGGGAGTGGAGGGGAGCACGTAGGCATTGACAGAATTAAGGGACAAACCATTTAGTCTGTGTGTGATGACGTGTGCATCGGTAGTTGCAGCGACGAGCAGGAGGTCGAGAAGTTGATAGGGGATGTCCTTCCTGACGGATGTATGTAGTCAATATGCATATCATCGGTATGGGCCAACGGCGCGAAGAGCTGTAGTGGGAGGGGGGGGGGGATCCCGCGTCCCCTGGTCCAGCAATGAGCCCTGGTGAAGACAGTCCAGAGACAGGAGTAGAGTTGGCCTGTGGAGGGTGGACAGGCTGAGGCACGGAATAGACATGGTCAGGGTGAGGGGATGAGTCAGGCCGACGCTCGAGGAGAGCAGAGCGAGCACACTGGGACAAGACCGGAGGGTGCCGTGGCAGCAGTGACAGCCAGCAGCGGTGAGGGAGGCTGTGGGTATGTAAGGCTCACAGAGGACACCATGCGGCGTTGTAGGTCGGTGTTGACGGCAAGTAGGGATCCAAAGAGATACTCAACACGGCTCTCTAGTTAGCGAAGGAGGGACATGAACCGTGTCACCAAGCCGGAGGAGAGTTGGGGGAGGAGGTCACAGGTGGTAGGACTGGGTCTGGCAGCGTCAGAACAGAGACAGGGAGGAGACCAAGGAACATCAGCATGGAGTTGAGTTGGGCGCCGGAGGTGGAGGTAACGGTGGAGGATGACGTGCTGCAGCAAGTTGAGGCCATGCCGGGGCAGGTGAGTCCCGGGGCAGAGAGGGGAAGGTGGAGGGATAAGAAAAGAAGGGCTGCCCAATAGATGTCAGAAGGACGTTTGGGGCAATACCGGGAGTCAGTATGGTGCTAGCCATGACAATTGCAGCACCCTTTGTTCGACTACCAGGACCACACCACCGTCCGTCAAGATTAGTCTCTGATTCTCTGAGCACAGACGGCGGAGTGATGGTTATATGAACAGAAACAACTCTAGGACGATTACGTCGACAGCAGGCGGTGATGGTGTGACCCCAATGGTAACAGACAACACAAAAAGCAGGCCAGAGATGATAGGGCTCTGCATAAATTGACGGGTGGATTGGGTGGGATTCAACAGTCGTTGGGCACTCCCTCCCCTTCCATTTAACAACTACGGTGGCTTGTGGGGAATGTACAATAGCTAACAGGGTTCACTATAGTGTTGGCAGGACACGGTGCTGCTTTGACAATGGACGCTGTTGCGTTGGTTGAATAAAGTCTCGTATTGCTAAAGCATGGTGTAATTTTGGCAGGACATTCTGTAGTGTATCCTGAAAATGCTGTAGTTGTAACAGGACACCCTATAGTACTAGCAAGGCACGCTGTAGTACCAGCAGTGCACGTTGTGGTGCTGGTAGGACATGCTGTAGTGCTATCTTTTTTTTTTCTTTTTTTTTTACGGGCATTAGCCCACCCGGACACAGGTCAAACGACCCACAACGGGGCCTGAGGGGTGAAAAAAAACAGAAAGAAATTGAAAATAGAGAAGAAAAGGGTTATACTGTGTTAATCTACACCACGAAGATGCCGGAAAAACAGATTTTTAAATTGAGACAGATTATATATAAGTATGGAAACACTAAATATTAAAGTCACCCTGTATTATTGTTTCACAATCGGTACCAATACTTGATAAAATCTTGGCAAAATGATCCACAAACTGACTATCGTTAGGTGAGCGGTAGAGTGTGCCTACTAGGATAGGTTAAGTTTTGGGTAACAATATTTCGAGCCATAGGCCCTCTAATTGTCACCATCTAAGGCAGATCTAAGGTTGCAGGCCAAGTCTTTTTTTATTTAAGCATAAACACCGCCCTTAGGTGTGTTTCTGTCAAGACGTTGCACATTGTATCCTTCTATTTTTTATTTCCTAATTTGTGACTGTTACCCAACCACGACTCAGAGTTGTAGAATATGGCAGCCATTGTTTAAGAAGCTAGAATTCTGACTTACGACATATTTGGCAGCATTGATTTTGAATTTATATGCACATTTGAAACACTGAAAATTATCAAACTCGCAGTCTGTTGGTGTGTTTGATGGTGCTAGTGGTAGAGACTGTCGAGCATTTATGCATGTCCTACACACAAAGTCGGAAATTGGGTCACTAGATGACAGATTGTCATATTCTTTCTCTTTTCATGAGTGTAAATCTTTCATACACTTATTCTTCAAACAAATTACACCTTATAACACGGCTCCGACTATTCATTTCTTTTGTACAATACAGTACATACACTCTGAGACGCCTAGGTCGTTTTTTAGGTGGTTTTGTTACCTTTAATGTGAGGTCCTAATGACGGGTAGCAGGTGGAGGGACTGCTGTTGCTCACCTACCCCCGGTAATGGATTGGGTGATATTGACGTCGTCGTGTTGGCGGGTGGCGGGAGGCTGGCGCCTGGCGGGTGGCGGTGACTGGCAGGTGGCGGAGGCTGGCGGGAAGCTGGTGGGTACCACCTTCTGGCCCACCACCGCGCTGTCGGTTGGTGGGTGTTTTCCTCCCTGTAGCACTACCGAGGCTGGTTGTGTTGGTGGGTGACGGGTGATTGCTTCCTGATGCCGGCAGAAGATTGATAAGTATCGCCTGCTCCCCCGCCGCGGTGTTGAGTGGCGGGTGTTCGCCCTGCAGGACTTGCGAGGAGACGCTGGGAATGGTTCACCTACCGGAGTAAGTGTTGAATTGATTAATGATGCTGTCGCAAGTCGCAGATCACTGATGATGATGCTATTATAGTGGTCCTGTGTTCGGTGTAGTAACAAAGGAGTAGTCATTGTTTGGAGTTACTTTTACTATTGTTGCACAGTTGTTGTGGAATTCATTGTAGATTATTATGTTGACATTAAAACTTTTTGATAGGACTTGTGGGACGAGATCCCCAAATAGTGAGTTGTACTGTCTGTGTTGTAAGTACTTGTATAGTTGATGTTGTAGCTGTGACCTCTGCTGGTATACCTGTTGGTAGAGGTTGTCGTTAGATATACTGCAGTTTCTTCATATATATTATTCTGTACATCCCCAAGTTCAAATTTATGTTCACTTTGCATCTGGTTGTGAAAGAGTGCTAGGAATGCATGTAACAAACAGTGTCATTTGCTGGTTGATTGTTCTAGCCGCCACCTGTAGGTAGCAGGCAGTTATTAGCCGCCACCTGTAGGTAGCAGGCAGTTATTAGCCGCCACCTGTAGGTAGCAGGCAGTTATTAGTCACCACCTGTAGGTAACAGGCAGTTATCAAACAGGGAGGTACTACCGCCTGGGAAGATATTGGAAGCATAATGTGTTGTCTAATGGTAGACCCTGCTGCCATATGGTATCACAAAAAATGTGACCAAGTTCCAGATTGCTGATCTGACTTTCTACCCCATTTACACACAATTGCAGGGTCTCAATTGTTTCTCTTACTTTTGACAACACAACATACATATATAGTTTCTCACTATTGATATTTTTTTTTAATTCTTGTATTTATTTATGGTCCTGTATTATTATTATTTTTATTATTATTATTATTATTATTATTATTATTATTATTATTATTATTATTATTATTATTATTATTATTATATATTTTCAATATTTTTTATATATTTTATTTATTTATTTTTATTAATTACTACTACTACTACTACTAATAATAATAATAATAATAATGATAATAGTGATAATAATATTAATAATAATAATAATAATAATAATAATAATAATAATAATGATAATAATATTAATAATAATAATAATAATAATAATAATAATAATAATAATAATAATAATAATAATAATAATGATAATAATAATAATAATAATATTATTATTATTGTTATTATTATTATTATTATTATTATTATTATTATTATATTTTCGCCCCCCAGGCCTTGATGTGGGTCATTAACCTGTGCCCTGGTGGGCTAATCCCGTAAAAAAAGAGAAAAAAAAAGAGAGAGAGATTTCACTTCTGCGGAATGATATCTCTGTACTGGTGGTGCAAAGGCAATTTTTGCGTGTGACGTACCCCTTTGGGGGGGGGGGGGGTTGCTCTGTTGCTCAGTTCAATTTTGTACAACATTGGGGTATTGTGCTTTTTCTACACTGTTCGTAATTTTGCTGGAGCTTGGAGACGTTGCTGGTGTGCGAGCAGGTTCTAAGAATGAGTTATAGGATGGTTCAAGGCGATAAGGCACTGTTGCTCGCACTGGGCATTGGTGAGAACTGACTTTGAGGGAAATACCAGTTTTCCTCTAGTATAATTCCCCTGAGTTGGTAAGATGGTTTATGTCCTTACCTATGTGTCAACTGTGTGTTCTCTGTTGTATGTGCACATTTTCAGTCTATTCCTTGTCGTTTGTCCGCCAGAAATTCTATTAGCGTACAACACCACTATCACCCTTCTCCACACACACACTCATAGGGTTATAGGTTCTGCAACAGCACTTGCATCTTGTCTCTTGTTATTTTTTAATAACACCACGAGCCGAAGCTCTAGTCTGCGTTTCCCATCATAAACCTCTTTATTTTGTATATTATTTGTTTTCATCTAATTATCGCTTTCCTCTGTGTATTGAATTTGTTTTACTCCTCTCTCTCTCTCTCTCTCTCTCTCTCTCTCTCTCTCTCTCTCTCTCTCTCTCTCTCTCTCTCTCTCTCTCTCTCTCTCTCTCTCTATATATATATATATATATATATATATATATATATATATATATATATATATATATATATATATATATATATATATATATATATATATATACAGTATATATATTATGTGGTAATAAAGGATCTTATTTATTTCTTGATTTTATTTATTTACTTACTCTTTCTCTGTTTTCGAAATCGCTTTTTTTTATTCTTAATCTTTCCTTCCTTACTAATTATGAATGTGTTGCAGGCGGGGAGTTACGTTGATGGCGGTGGTGGTACTGATGGTGTGCCTGGTACCTTCCATCACAGGACAGTCGTTGGACTTACTGGGGGCTGGTACCGAGGAGGCTCTACAATCGCTGGTCAAGCATCTGCAGCCTAACGTCATCCCACGGTTTGTGGGGTGCATTCTTGATGAGCCTCAATACACGGATTGTGACAAGAGATCTAGAGGACTAAAACGTAAGTGGCAGACGTGGCAAAGGACGCGCTTAGATCGTAGATAGTATCCATCACTTATATTTATGGTAATAAGTGACTAAGCATCACAGAATAGCCAGTAGATGTGACATATATCATCATACTAAGCCTTAAATAATTATTTAATTAAAAAAAATGCTGTACTACACATTTGAATTAATAAACAGGTATTTCTTTATTCCTATACCGGGTGGTGCATACCACACTTTTATAGTTTGCAGTTATATAAACATTGTCTTCCACATCAATGCATAAAGAACTAGATTAAGGTTGGTTAATTAATGTGCAGTATCTCATTATTCAGTTTGTGATTAAACTATTTTGATGGCTACTTTAAAGTCGGGAGTCCGAGGGAGCAGCATAGCAGACTTTATGACTCTTTGATAAATGTAGTTTTAATACTGAAGGAAATTTTTAATTGTTCTCGGACATTTAGGTAAAAATTTAGTTGATTTTCACCTGTCCATCCAACTTTCATTCTGTAATCAGATTTATCATGAATATCACGCAAAGAATCCTGGAAATTTTGTCGAGCTCCATAAGACTACGTGATTGAATTTATTTAGATTATTTAACTTTTGTGTGTGATCTTTTTAACATATTAACAAAGTTTAATGTATGCATCACTATAATTAATTGGAAAACGGGCAAAATCACCTAGTAGGGTAAAATGGAACACATAAAAAATATAATTGTGTTACACTTTTGAAGTTAAATGCATGGACAATACCACTGTCCAGGTTAGAAGTATTGACTCTTTTAATTGACACCAAAAGGAAGTTTGAGGCCTTTGAAATGTGTTACTACATGACACTGCTTAAGATGAGTTACACTAATAGGAAACAAATGAAGAAATATTAAGACTAGCAAGAAATACTGAAAATTTATAGAATAGAAGAAATGAGTTACAATGACCATATAATTAGGGGATAAAGAGATAAGATAAAATTATTTATGGGCAAAATGTCGATGGATTGATAAAAATAAAATACTGAAAACGTTTGGGTGGAGCGATGGTTGAATTATATGACCTATTTTTTTTTTAATATTTTCAGTTTGGCAACATAGTCTTCCATGAGAAACATTACCATCCATGAAAGACATTGTCATTCATGAGGAGCAGCCATTCATGAGAAACAATCATCCATGAACAAGTCATCGATGAGAAATGTTATCATCCATGAACAACAGTCATCCATGATAAACATTATCATCCATGGTTTATAAAAAAAATCAAACAAATAGTGAAGTGAATTCCCTCTCCAGTAGCCGGGGCGAAGTATGCCGTCTCTTATTACCTTGATCTAAAACCAATATGCCCAGCAAATTTACGAATACCTCGCTGGCAGTGTCAACACTGGTTTGTCAATAGAATAGTCAGTGTCTACAAATAGTGGACGTTCTTTAACGCTATATCAAATCGTTCGCTCCACCCTTCACACGTTAAACAACTGTTAGGAATATTTATTTAAGGTGTTATTACTCAGTTGTTTCTTTTCGCAGATTTTTAGTTAAGCGTTTATAGCATTAATCACGATCAACTTTACCCCCGTCAACAGCAACGTCTTATACCTGATGATTGACAACATTTTTAATCAGTTTTTATTTTTATTGTATATATCTTAATATAATATTTTTTTTTTCAGTACTGTTCCTGGCATTCGACACCAGGGGTTTCGTGTGTGATAACTGTTCGAAGGAGACCGTCTATCAGATGTGTTTAGTCCAACAAAGCTTGTTGACTAACTTGGAACAGTGTAACAAATTGCGAACAGGTCTCATTCTTGAAACAGATATCTGCGTACCCAATCCGGAGTGTGCGAACGTCCCTATTGCTGCTGAACTATCCCATCTGCTTGAAGGAATTGCCTGAGTGTAACAGCATCTTACTGTTATCCTCAAAAGGATCTGGTAATTCAGTATTATCAAAGAATTATTAAGGTGTGTTATAATTATGTTGAAAGTCTAAGAAGTGAGATGTGAGACATATACAGACGGCATGGTAAAGCTGAAGTATGATCTACTGTTTTATAAAGAAAATGTAAAATTTAAGACATGCAAAACCATAAAGTCTATAATTATCTTAATATGTTGCTTGTTTATGACTTATTAATGTAAAATTCATGATTACTTTAGCATGTTGGTGGTATATTACCATAAAGTCCTAGATTCCCTGTGAGACTTTTACTTACATCTTATATCCCGTTTATCCATAACGTCCATGATTATCTTAGTATGTCGGTTGTTTATAACTTATTAATATTAACACACACACACACACACACTACTACTACTACTTTGCTGTCACTTGGAATCAAGTATGACGATCATCCAGCTATGATACGAGTTATTAAGGATTTCACCTTCGTTGAGGAGTTCTGAGGTGACAAAAGAGGCCGATACGGGACCGGCAGTGTCGTTCACAGATGTTGCACATGTGAATGGCTACATCTAGTGCGGGAGGGGCGGCGGCAGCGTCTTTTCGGCGTTGGTGCTTGTCTGCCTCCGTATGCAGTCGGGCTAATTCGAAAGTATTGACTCCTCGTGTGGTGCTCCTCCAAGCGTTACCGTGTGCAGTGATCGTTTCCCAGGTGAGGGGATCGATTTGGCACTTTTTCAGATTTGTATTAAGACTATCCTTATACCTTTTCCGTTGCCAGCCAGTGTTACGTTTACCCTTCGTTGGGCGACAAGGCGACAAGGGTGAGTTCGTCTGCATACTGAAGATCAGTAATGGAAGCTGCCGACACCTTCATTCCTGCCTGGCATCGTCTTATGTTGAGAAGTCCCTTCATACGATACTAGATGTCCACCCCGCCGGCAAAATTGTCACGGACACGAGTAAGGAAGGCAGCCAAGAAAATGTGAAAAGGCCAAATAGGATTTTTGATGGTAGACCAATCTATTCCGAGGTGCTGGAGGAAAAAATATTCATAAAAAATATAAATTTATTTAAAATAACATACACACAAAATAGAAAACAGTAATATAATAATTTAGTTACTAGGGGAGTATAATGATCTGCTGACACCTGAACACCAGGTACAGTATAACAGCTCTGCTGAAGAGTCTCGGTATATAGTGGTGTATGGAGGCGTGAGGTCGACCAGAGTACAGACGAGTTCCAGCTCTCCCGAACAGCACTTAAGGGATGGGGTTAGACTTAAATCGCCCCTGAACTGGGATCCGGAGGACTCTGGTCTGCTCGCCTCCGCGAGTCCCCACGACTGGACAAGTCATGTGATATATGTTCCCTAGAGTAGAGGACAAGGATTGTCGAACACTGACGATTGACGTCTCTCACGCCCGGCCCTTCACGTGGGCAGAGTCCTCCTAAACAACATATAATATTTTGGTACAATTTATACAATATTAATAACACCCGACATATTGAACTTAACAATGTACCCTAAACCAACAAAACATAAGTAAATTACAACAGAACATAATCAACAATATACGTGAAGGGTTTTCTTACCGATGCGCTCTGGCTGAGGGAAGGAAGTCCTGTGACTAGTCCACTCACCCTCTCAGCGCTCATCACCTCTGTTCCGGGTTGAGTAACCCAACACTGACAAGACAAAAGTAAACAACGCCAAACAACACCATAAACAATTTCCCCTACAGTTTACTGCTTTGGAGGGATGACACTCCGATTCCCTGACCCCTGATTGGCTGAACATTCCCGCCTTGCTCTACAATTGGCCGACTGTCTGGCTTGTATGGGTTTTAATTAATAGATGGAGTTGTGTACCTATGTCATGCGAGTATTTGACATTATTAATAATGTTACCATTGTTATTATGATTACCATTACTATTCCCTCACAAAGTGGAAAAGAGAGTTAGCGCCAGTACATATCCTTGTTTTTCTCCAGTTTAGATGGGCAGGAACTCAGACTGGGTGCCATTGTGCAGGACATTGCCGTTCATGCTATCGTGAAGCTGACTCACAATGGCGATGAATTTTGGTGGGCAAACAAAACGGCTGAGGGTCTGCCAGAGGGCTTCCCTGTTCACCGAGTCGAAGGCCTTGGTAAGGTCGATGAAGGCCATGTACAGTCGGCCACAAGAAAAAGTATACTACCTACGTTTCGTGTTTGAGACACACAATCTGGTAACACCGTCCTGAACAGAACAGACAAAATTACAAAATTACCTGTAGTTTATTATTTTATTCCTACATAATCACCTGTGTAGATCATGTCACGTCTTTCTGTAACATTAGGATACATTTACGTAAAATATAAGTTCCTAACTGATATAGTCTGAGGATGAAATTTGTGCTATAAAGATGTGAAACCTGAAAAACTTATTTGACATTGAAATGAAATGGAACGTAAATATGGCCTAAGGCAGTTAGAGGTTTGCGATTGATTGTTTTAGCACTACTTTAACCACTTGTGTCGTCTAACAAAACTACTATCGAGGTTATTTAGGATGTCACGCACCTATCGCCGAGTCCTATCCTGCTCGGATATTATAAGAACTTTATCTATATCTCCTTTATTGATTCCTTTCACCCACTTAAATACTTCTATCATATCTCCCCGCACTCTTCGTCTTTCTAGGGAATGCAAGTTTAGTTTCTGTAACCTATCTTGATATGGAAGGTTTCTAAGTCCCGGAATCATTTTCGTCATTCTTCTCTGCACCGACTCCAGTGAATTGATATCAATTCTATAATAAGGGCACCAGAACTGAACCGCATAATCGAGGTGCGGCCTGACTAAAGCAAGATACAGTTGCAATAAGACCTCTGCACTCTTATTACTTACACTTCTAGATATAAAACCTAATACTCTGTTTGCCTTATTTCGAACATTAACGCACTGTTTTCTAGGCCGTAGGTCCGGGCACACAAGTACCCCAAGGTCTCTTTCACAAGTCGACTTCTCAAGGTTTGTCTTCAGGCTATGCTTATACCTTTTCCATTGCCCACCAGCGTTATGTTTACTACTCTTTAGATGACTGTAAAGTAGCTGCTTTGGCAGTCTACTGTCATCCACGCGGGTAACATGGCCCGACCAATGTAGTTGTTCATGGATAATGGCAGCCTCGATGCTCCTACAGTTGGTGTCGGTGAGAATACTGGCATTTGTTCTCTTGTCATTCCAGCGAACTAGGAGGATGGAATGTAGATTACGTTGGTGAAAGTTTACAGGTGCCTTGAGGTGCCACCTGTATGTGGCACTCGACTCGCTCCCACACAGCAGGGTGGGGAGGACCACTCTTCTATACACGTGCAACTTTGTAGATAATTTCAGCTCCCTACAGCTGAAGACACGGGTACGGAGTCTGCCAAAGGCTTGAGATGCACATCTGATCGGATGTTGAATCTCTTCATCGATGTCAGTGGTAGTGGACAGTTGGGAGCCGAGATACTGCAAGTGGATAACATTGGAGATAGTAGTACCCTTAAGCTGGATGGATGGTGAGGGTGTGGCTGAACCAGGGACAGGATAAAAGAGAATATGAGTCTTATGTACATTCACCTAAAGAACGAATGTGCGTACGCGTATGCGTGGGTGTTCAGGATATCCTGTACATGTACTGTAGGTTGCGTTCAGTGTGAGCAACAAAGGTGAGAACGCCTGCATGCTGAAGTTCAGTAATGGAACCTATCGACACCTTTGTTCCTGCATGGAGTCGTCTTCTGTTGAAAAGACCCTACATCCGGTACTGAATGTCGACCCTGCTGGCTAAATTGGCACTGGCACGAGTAAGGAAGGCAGAAAAGAAAATGGAAAAGAGAGTTGGTGCCAGTACACATCCTTGTTTTACCGCCGTTTGAATGGGGAAGAACTCAGATTGGGTGCCATTGTGCAGGACAGTGCCGTTCATTCCATTGTGGAGTTGCCTCACAATGGCGATGAATTTGGGTGGGTAGCCAAAATGGCTGTGGGTCCGCCAGAGGGCTTCCCTGTTGATAGAGTCGAAGGCCTTGGTTAGGTCGAGGAAGGCCATGTACAGGTTTTATGAACTTTTCCTTTATCTTACGGGCAGCAAAGATCATGTCAGTGGTGACCACGTGATGGTCTAAAGCCACATTGAGATTCTGGTAGGAACTTTTCTTCCTCAGGAAGAAGTCTGCTTAGGACAGCAGCGAGATCCCGCGGTAGTTGCCACAATCTGACTGGTCTCTTTTGTTCTTATAAATATTGACGATGGATGCATTTTTAAGAGCTTGGGGGATTTCCTTCTTTTCCCATATATTCTCCAGGAGAGAGTGAAGACGGCTGGTAAGAAGAGGTGTTGGGGAGGGAAGTCCCCCTCCCACCCCCCGCCCTTGACGTGTGACGAGTGTGACTCCGTCTGCCTCTGAGTTCTGACTCTCCATGTGTGTCTCTGGGAAGGAGCTGTCGGCCCCTTGTGTTGACGGTTCAGGCCGGCAGATGTTTTCACTAATTAACGCTAATCTGGGTGTGTCGAGACAGCTGTGTTTGAACAGGTGTGTGGTGTGGGCTAGAGCAGTGCTTCTCAAACTATCTGATGTGGCGGACCGGCAGGTTTTTTTCCAATGTGCCAGGGACCGGTACCATATTTGTACCATATTATTATTTGTTTACGATCCGAGAAAATATGATTTGAACATTCGTAGTAATATTAATTTATGCCGGAAAAATATAATGAATATAATAAAAGTTGACACATTTTTTTTTGTAAACAAGTATTACACTATTACAATATAAATAAAAACTATTAAAAATCAAACTAGCAAAGCCTTCTAACAAAGATATTATAAACATATGTATATATAAGTAATAAAATGAAAAATTATAATGAATAATGTAGGTTAAAATTGTTTTTATATTTTAGTTATTTTAAACCCCAATGCATAAAGACGTTAAAACAAAGATTGAAAGGAATAGGCAACCTTAAATTGAAGACATAACAATTTTGAAAATATGTCGTAATACTAAAATATGAAATTGATGATTATTTTATTGACACAATAATAGGCATGTTAAAACCTTAACCTTTACTAATGTGAAATATGAGCCTGCTTCTTCTTTGTCAGCTTAACCAATCGTGGTTCAATTGAGGACAGTGCCACGCGCAATGGAGAATGAATATCCATACTATTCCTGTACTTTGTCTTAATGACACTCATGGTTGAAAAGCCAGTTTCGCAGAGGTATGTTAAAGGAAATGGGAGAAGAGTTTTCAGAGCA